CCTCTTCTTAGCTACTCTAGTGCAGATGATGATGACCAGTTATCCATCGTCTCTAGAACCGGATTTTTCAAACCCTTTTTTGGTTCGGGTCCTCTTACAGTGGAGAAAAGGTTTTAGGGACCTCCTCATAACTCTCATGTTTATTTATTTTTTTTCCAATTTGTTTCTTTAATGCAATAGAAATATTTGCATAACATAAATACTAAAGACTAGTTCTTTAACAGTGTTAATAATTTTTTTATATTTTTAAATGTGCTATTTTTCATTCAAGACACACTTAATTATCTAATTTCAACTTCCAAAAATTACAGTTTTGAGAAAATTAACAGTATCATAAAACACTTTAAACATTTACCTATTCACTTAATCAACATAAATGTATTTCCACATCTTCAAATTATTACAAAAACACTCTTTACATAAACCTGACGAGAATCGTAACAGCAGTAGTCATACCAAGTAACAGGTTTCAATTTGTAAACTGGTTGATGTTGTTTCCTAAAACCAAACTGATGAATAATAAAACATTTGATGATGAGCTCAAGTTTTCTTTAAGATGGTTATTAACAACTTTGTCCAGGACCTTAATGAAAATGTAAAGTATAGAAACATGTTAATAAATATGTAAAAGTGTAGGATCACTGTCCTTGAAAATTTTAAGAACAAATCAGTCTTCCACACATCTGGGATGACATTATGTTTTAGCAAAAGAGTTTCTTAAAGTCACTTAAATCTCTTTTTCTCCCGATTCTTATTATTGGTTTGAGTTTTAGTAAAATGTTGTCACTCCATCCATATGTGTAACCCCATCAGGTTACTGATATCTGATTAAACTGATTAGGTATTTGTGTCAACAAGCAACATGTGTTCTGTCAGAGAATGTTTGGTCAAACATTATGGATCTTTTATTATTAATGTTTCTCGCCTCTGTCCTGAGAACAAGTAACTGAATTGTCTCCAAAAACACTTTCTTCTCCAGAACTGAAGAGATGCCCATGAACAGTATCAGTGATGGCAAAGAGTGCCATGTGAGACTACAGCTGGCTTCAAGGACACCCACTGAACTACAATAAACTCTGCTGAAGTGATAAGGGTCGAAAAGCAAGCAGATGACGCAGCTCATGGATTTTTTTTTTTGTCCGTTTTTCGTTACAATACTCACGTGTTGTGTGTTTCTTTTGAGTAATCAGAAATAGTGACAGAATATTTCTCCAACAGTACATAATAAAGTGACCAGTGAGTGTAGGTCCTGAACCCCATGATGTTTGTAGTTGTAGTTTG